CTTTGGGGCTCTTTGGCCTGGTGGTTCTCAGCTGGCCATTTGGCTCCTGATCAGCTTTTACCGTGCTATATAATTCCAAGTCAGCAGATCTGGTAGGATATTATAGTTAACTCGTATTTCTCTTTTTCCCTGGGTTCTTCCTTTACCTTTCTCCTTGTAAATAAAGCCATTATCAAACCTTTTGAGTGTGTCTGCAGTACGATTGAACCTTAAGTGTGCGGGTGAGGACCCACAGACAGGCAACCCAATTCATATTGGGGTGCCCTGTAACAGTGCCACCAGGGAAGACCCCACTTTCTGCATTTTTAACAAGTATTCATGTGATGTTGAAGTTGCTCATCCATCACTGAATTTTGAGTAGCAAGGCACTGTGAATCAGTAATAATGTCACTAAGCGTTAGCAGTATATTTTTTCTTTTTGTAAAATCTCACAATGTTTATAAGTACACACCTTATAATAAGCAGAGAACTTGCAAAATTCAGCATGTTTTTCAAATAAGTTTCTTATTTGTTTTAACACTTTAAAGAATATGTTTAAGTTTTTACATATTTGCTTTGAGACCTCATATTGCTTTAATTCACAATTTAATTTAATGGGAACTCAGTTTTAGTAGTGAATCTAGAAAACAACTTACCCATTTAAAGAGTTTTTGTTGTTGTTTTTAGCTCTTGGCCTTAGGCTAAACACTTCAGGCTAAGTTTAGCAGTTGTTAGACAAAATGTAATAGAGAAACAGCTCTGGAAGTAGGTAAATCCCAACACTTAGGGAAAATACCAATTGCAAAATAATGACCTAGTTTAAAGATAGCTGTAGAGGTACAGCTATTTGTCCCTGAAACACTGAGACCATCTCCACCCTGAAAACAGAAAGATGTTTTATTGAAAGACAGTAGTGCTATCTAAGAATGAATAATTTCTGTGACACTTTTACAGAAACTTTGTTTTTTCTTCATTCTTCCATTCAAAAAAAAAATTCTTTTTAGGCTGTGTTATTGTTCTGGGTACTGAAAGACAGCTGTGAATTAGAAACATGGGTACATGATTGGGGAGGGGGGATAGAGAAAATAAGTAATAAATAGGATAGTCTTATATGAAAATGAGTGTTATTTAAAAAAAAGTGAACTAGAGAGATTGGTATTAGGGGTACTCTTAAATTATGTGGTCATGGTAGTAGAGACATGAGTGAACTAATCAAGGAGCCATATAAAGAGAAAACAGCACAATGACAATGCCTCATGGAAAGAATAAATCTGTTGTAAAGGAGATAAAGATTAGTGAGAACAGCTATAACAAAGGAGGTGTGGGGTAGCAAGAGAAGGAAGTGAGAGAGATAAGTAGCAGCCAGATCAGGAAAAGCTTTGAAGACCAAAGCAGATATGTGCATGATTACACATATTTATGGTATTAAGCAGGGATTTACATGATCTTATTTATTCTCCTGTAGGAAGTCTGCCTACTTTTTCATATTATCAAATTTATGGTTCTCATCAAAGGGCTAGCACAAATGTCATACTTATTGTAAAGACTTCCTTTCAAAGTACTTTTCCTCTTTACAGTTTCCACTTGTATAGGCATCTCTATAGAACACACTTCTACCATTGCACACTTCTCTACAAAAGCACATACCCCTTGCAATTTTCAATGAGACGAGTAGCCAGACCCTCTTCATTTTGTAGCACAAAACCTCTCATAATAGAAAAGGTTAAATTAAACAGAATCACATCTTAAGTAGCTTTTGTTCTCCATTCCTCATAGTTCAGAATTTAGCTTTCTGGACAAGGTCATAGCATAAGTTAGGGTGTCTGAATTATTCCCAAACCTATGTTCTTAATCTTCCTATCAAATTCCAGTTGTAGAGAACCAAAGTGGGTCTTTCACTCATGCCCAGGAAGTCAAACTTTGAGCCATAAGAATATCTCTGTTCAGAGGAGTTTATTATGAGGTGGCCCCCAAGGGAGCTGGCAACTGCATTAGCACCCTAATGAAGCAGATGGGGTGATAATGAAGCAGTAGGGGTGATTATACGTGAAGAAAGGAATATGAGGAGATGTGGTACCTCAAGAGAGGAGGGGTTTTAAATTGCCAGATCTGGGGAGGCACCAGGTGGAGTAGAGATCAAGAGTTAAGTGTCTCTTTTCCAGCAGTGTGCTCCTGGGAGGTTGGGGGCAGGGTTTGGGACAGGGCCTGGTTGGTGGGTGGGTGTTAGCTGCCAACAGGGGTTTGCACTGATGCTTTCTTTATCCCTAAGGGTACAGAGAATTCTTTTATTTATTTATTTATTATATTTTTACATTATTCTTCATTTTGTGTCTTTTTCCACCTGTTGTAATCCCCATGGCCTTTCCACCACCAATTCACCTGTGTGCCATCACCATATTCCAGTGCACTCTTCCCACCCCAGTTCTTATCCCATTCCCCTTTCCACCCCTATAAAATGTCTCTGGTTTATAGTTGTTCACTGTTTTCATTTTTACTCTATTACATTTGTTTCTGTCTCTCTTTTTCTCCCCCTGATCCCTTATGCTCTTGCTGTGAGTGAAACCATCGGTGTTTTTCTTTCTGGGTTATTTCACTAAGCATGATCCCTTCCAGTTCCAACCATGTTGCTACGAAAGGCATGAGTTTATCTTTTTATTGCTGAATAATATTCCATTTATAAGGATACAGAGAATTCTGTTGTAGAATTTACAGTTAGTTCTTAAGGTTCCCAGGGATGCAACTGGAGAGTAAGTTACACAGGAGGGGGAAGAGGGGGGGCAAGTTCAATATTTGATTCTTACTTTAATCCTTTCTACTCTACTTACTTTTTACAAGATGAAAGGGGTCTGATTATACAGTCTCCTATTTCCAAATACCTTCTGGGGGGGGGGGTAGTTTCAATTTACTGTCCTTTTTTTCCTCCCACGAAGTTAACATCACACATTCACTAACTTTTTACAATTTCTCAATTTGTATTGGTAATATCAACTTTTTAATTTTATTGGCTAGAAATTTTAGAGTACTTCAATTTCTCTGCTGTTGGAGGATTTCCCTTTGTCTGACTGGAGGGTCATTTTGACTCAAATTTTGTCTCAAATTCACATAACATATCCCCCAAAACCAGTGATTGAAATATCATTATATTTACACATTTATGCAGTATTCTAATTATCAAGTACTATTTTCTCATTTAAAGGCAAACGGCACATGCCAAATCATGTATAAAATCTTAATGTTCAGGGCCCTCCCTGGTGGCACAGCAGGTTAAAGCACAGCACTGAGAATCTGAAGCCGCTTCTGCATGAGTTTGATCCCCCTGGCCCGGAGGTGACCCACATGGTTGGCAGACCTCTCCTGACCCACTCCCTGCTCCTCTCAGCAGTGTACTTTGTAGATCTGCCTGTTCTGCTCCCCACTCTGTCTTTGGTGAATCCTCTCATGGCCCCTGAACCTCTGGCCTGTACCCCAGTTCTGTATGCACAAATAAATCTTTAAAGAAAAAATCTTAATATTCATATGAACTTACTGAGGAAGTATTTTAATTTCATTTTTTTAAAGATTTATTTATTTATTCATACAGAACTGGGGTACAGGCCAGAGATGTGGAGGGAGAGGATTCACCAGGAACAGAGTGGGGAACAGAACAGGCAGATCTACGAAGTCCACTGCTGAGGGGCGCAGCGGGCGGGTCAGGAGAGGTCTGCCAGCCATTTGGAGATCCTCCGGGACAGGCAGGGATCGAACTTATGTGGAATTGGCTTAAGCTTCTTAGTGTAGTGCTTTAACCCGCTGCGCCACCAGGGAGGGCCTTAATTTCATTTTAAAATGAGGAAAATGAGATTTAGGCATTTAGACAACCTAATCAATGATTTAGTTACCCTAACAAGGAAGTGATATGGATTTGAATACCTGGCTTTTGTTTGAGAACAGTGAGCTCTACTTAATCTCTCTAATAATGAGTAATACCTCAAGAATAAATCCTGCCTTTCTTGTAAAGACTTCCCTGATACAGTTTATCAGTATTATGTAACTTACCTATCACTGCTTAACTTGCATCTTCTATCCCACGTTTCAAATCATTTTAGTTACCTCGTATGCATTGACCATTTTACTTCAGTTCGTTTGTAAACTCCCTAATCTCAGTGACTATAGTATTTGTTTTTTTAGGAAGGTCCAGTACTGTGGTGGGCACACAATAAATTTCAGTGAGTAATGAATAAAATACTTAGCACAGTCCTTGCCCCAAATGCATGCTTAATAAATGTTGCATGCTTAATAAATGGTATCAGTGACTACTGACTATTACTTTCAAGGACTGATGCCTCAGATTGAAGTTCTAACAGGAAGCCAGAAAATTCTGATATCTGACTTCAATCTTAAGAACTTTTTGCTTGTTTTCCTTATGATCTAGAGCATTGGTTGCCAGGCTAAGTTAGTCCATTTTAGTCTCATCCCACTTACTCTATGAAGCAGTATTTACAACACAGACACGAAAACATCAGCCAATAGCAATATACCCTTTACCGTTCCAGCTCACTTTATTTTCTAAGAGTGCTTGCAGAATAGTTGCAATACTTTAATTTTAGAGGAATTGCCTTTAATTTAATAATAATACTTTAATTTTAGAGGAACGCCTTTACTTTTAAATAAATGGCTCAGCCTCGTTTAACTTCAGTGAAGTTACAAACGTGTTGGTCTTGCTGGCTTAGTTTTGATGCATATAGAGCATCTCACCGCGCAATCAGGCTTTTTCGCCGTCCTGCCACCCTCCTTATCTCGCTCCGAGTAGAAACCACCGGATTGCAGGCAAAGCTAACCATCAGGGGTCGCGTCGTGAGCCCCGGCGTTGGGACAGCGAACCCAGGAAGCCCAGTTTCCCAGCGTCCCGGGCTCCGTCCCACCTCCGGTGAGCGCCGTCGCGTAGCGTTACGTCACACGCTTTCCCGGAAGTGAGGCCGAGTCGCCGGCGGGGGTGTGTCTGCGGGCTGCCCCGCGTGTAGTTACTGGGAACCGCGGGAATTCGGACGCCGGCGCTGCTACATCCGCTGCCGAGGTGTTTTCTCTCTCCCCGGGAGAGTCACGAGCTCTTGCACGCCCAGGACGTGAGCCTGACTAGGTCCCGGCGCGACGCCATGGAGGTAGTGGAGGCAGCCGCCGCTCAGCTGGAAACTCTGAAGTTCAATGGCACCGGCTTTGGGGGTGACCAAAGTCAGGCGGAGGCGTCTCCGGTGTCTAGTGCTCCCCCAGAGTCTCGGCCGCCAGTCCAGCCGGATGGGGAGACCCCCGACACTGGGCAGATCACGGAGGCTCAGCCCGCAGAGGAGCAGCAGCCTCAGGTCGCGGGGAGCTCTGTAGGCGCCGGGGGTCCGGCGCTGCCGGCCGAACCGACACCCGGCGGGAACTGCGTCACCGGTCTGGGCGCCGCAGAGCCGCCACGGGCCTCAGGCTCCTTGGGAACCTCGGACTCGGACTCGGATTCGGATTCCGACAGGTCGGGCTGCCTGCGGTTCCGGAGCTGCAGTGTGAGGCCGCGTGTGCCTCGGGGGCTGGGAGGAGCAGGGCCTGCGGGCTGGGGGTACCCCGCGTAGGCCGGGGAGCCCGGGCTGGGGAAGCTCTGCGTGCGGGAGTTCACCTGTGATTGGGGCCGCCCATTCCTCGCCGCTCACTGCGCATTCGTTGTGAGTCGGAGTTAAATCTCACCGCCCTCCGCTAAATCTAATAATCTGAAAGGCTCTGTGCATATTTTGTCGTTTTCGGGTAGCGTGTAACAAAAACAGAAAACCGAGGTGCTGGGATTATTGCAGTACTCATTTGGGCTGTCCAGTTGTGGCTGTGATTTTGAGTTTTGGGCAGACTCGCATTTCATGAACTTTAGGGTGTGACCTGGTTTTGCGAAGTAGATGGACTGAGTATCACTTAAAGGATTTTGTGTTCTTCTAAATTGGCACCTGACAGTTTTGTTAATTTGTAGAACCCTTAAAGGGACTACATGTTCATAAAATTAGAGAGGATTGTTATTTGGTTTTTTTTTTTTTTGCGCTGCCTAGATTTTTATTTTAACATTCCCCAAACCTCCCCTTAGCCATTTGACGTTTAAATATGAAGCCTTGTGATGGGAAAGGGGTTAAGCATAGTATGTTGCTAAACCACACTGCACGTTGTTTACAAGCATTTGAGCTTGTTATGTGAGATACTACACAGGTGGACAAAATAGACATGGGGGGAGGGATATAAACGCCTTAGTTAAACATAGCGATAAAGTTAGAATTGGTGAAAATTTGATGGGCTAAGCCAACCACTTAAAAAGTAATGGGAGAGTCCAATCCTATGATTAAAAGTTTTAATTCTAGGACAACACGAGTTCTAGCCCTGCCAGGGAGTTGACCCACTTGGTGCAGCAGAACTCTCCTGTCTTGCCTGCTGCTCTCTTTAGCAGTGGATTTCAGTCAATCTGTCTGTTCTGCTCCCCACTCAGTCTCTGGTGAATTCTCTCAGTGCAGCACCTCTGGCCTGCACTCTAGTTCTTGGATGTATAAATAAATCTTTAAAAAAAAAGTTTTAATTCTTAGTGTCAGAAAAGCTGTTGGTGAATTTTAAGTAGAGAAATGGCATGCCCAGGTTAACATTCCAGCATGCTTTGCTCGTAGAGAGGACTTGAGCTGTGTTCAAGAGTGAAAGTAGAAAAGCTGGAGGAACACATGAGTGTGCAGACTAGTAGGAAAGATAAATGCATTAGTCTGTAATCGGACTATGGTTGTCTGGGTGAAATATTTTTAAGTCATCGAATCAGAAATGCTAATAGGTAAAGCAGAGGACTAAAACAAAGGCATCAACTGGGTGGATGGTGGGGCATGTCACTGAGGTAGGGAGCAGAACCTTAGTTGGAATGGGGGCTGGGCCCAATAGGAATGACACAGTTGGACAGTCCATTTGAGACTTATCTAACAGTCAATAGGATATGTCAAGTGAGCAGTAGTATAACATTTATGGTTTGGAGGACAGTTCTGGTCTAGAGATAAACATTTGCACAAAATCAGATAAAAGATAAAATTTTTGCAGATCTTGTTTTCTCTAACATTGCTAACTTTGTGACCTGGGAATTTAAAGCAAATATTAGAAAATATTACCACCATACCTGTAACTTCTTTAGTATGCATCTCTAACTTCCCACCCTCTCAGTTTTATCAAGCAATGCCATCACAAAATAAGCTTAAGATGTATAGTATAATGGTTTGATACACATATATTATGAAATGATGGCCTCAGTAAGTTCACTGATCATGTGACACCTACAGCTTTCCTATATGTGTTAACAGCAGTTTAACTATAGTTGTGTTGTATTTCTTCCTCAGTACTTTATGTTATAACTGGAAATTTACCTTTTGAACATATTCTTCCAGTGTGCTCTGACCCTGTACTTCAGATAACCATAAGTCTCATCTCTCTCTAAGGCTTTTTTTTTAAGACTCCACATAACATGAGATCTTAAGTATTTGTCTTTCCCTCTGTGACATTTCATGCTAATCATGATGCCTTGAAGACCCATCCATGGTTGTACAAAGGATAGGATTTCCTTATTACTTTTTTAGTGACTGAATATATCTCACTGTGTGTATGTGTTTGTATACACTCACAACTGTCTTAACCATCCATTGAAAGATACAATTTGTTTATATGTCTTGACCAGTGTAAATTATACTGCTGTGAATAATGTCATACCTGCATATTCGGGAACAGATATCTTTTGGATTAGTGTTTTGATTTTTTCCCAGAGAAGGGATCACTGGATCTTACGGTACTTCTAATTTTAATTTTTTGAGGAACTTCCATACTGTTTTGCATAGTGACTGTCCTAATATACAAGTGGTATAATCCCTCCACCAGAGCACAGAGGATTCCCTTTTCTCCACATCCAGGCCATCATTTGTTTTGTTTTTGATGATGACCCTTTAACAGGCAAGAGGTGATATTTCAGTGTGGTTTGAATTTGCATTTCTCTAGTGAAGGAAAAAGATTTAAAGGAGAGAATTGGTTTTAGAAAGGAGTTTAGAAATGAAAGTAAGTGCTCCTTTCCTTCTTCTCTTGCATTTGTATGTTATTCATGTAGAAGTGACCCTTTACAATACAGCTAGAAATTAGGCTGTAGTTCATTTAAAGTTGTTAAGACAGAAGATTATCAGTTATTTGCATGAGGATAATGATTGAAATCATGGAGTGAATGAAGTTATCCCTGGGAAGAGAAGCATGAAACCCTTAGAAACAGCAATAAAAGAACTAAAGAGGGCTAGCTAACAATTTAAATGAAAAGCAATTCAGTAACAAGAATTGCCTTATGAGTCAAGAGCTTAAGGAGTAATCAGAAAGTAGGATGGGCAGCATGGTTGGCAAATTAGAGTTTTGAACTCGTCGAAGACTGAACTTTTCATCATCAATGAAGAGATTTTGTGTTTGGTTAAGTGTCTTGCCCAAAGTTCTGTTTTTTCGGTGATTGGCCACATGTTCATCTACTTTAAGTCCCATATTTTTGCTTAAAACGCTCTTAATAAGAGTTTGGCTTATGGAAGGGGGTTGAAAATGTTACCAGCAGAGTAAAGACTTCAGCATGTCATTGAATGATGCTTCATTTTAGTGTTGATGAGAAGAAAACAATCCTGAATGGTGATGAGTGAAAAGATCCTTTTGAGGATCTTATTCTGATATACCTCCATTCTGCTAAAGTCCGTTCCAAGAACCTATTCAGGATGTTAAGTGATGACTTACTATGTTTTCCAAATACCATACAGTCACCTTTCAAAGGCTAACCCTTGAATTCCACCAGCAGTGGTAAACATGTTAAGGCTATTTGCTAGTTATTTTAATGCCACTGTTGGTGTTTTTCTAATTTTTCAACTGTTTTTCTCTACAGTGAGACAGATTCTGATAGTTCAAGCTCCTCTTCTTCCTCATCATCTTCCTCATCCTCCTCACGTGTATCACTTCCACCAGTGCTATCAGATGGAGAAGATGATTTACAAATTGAGAAGGAAAATAAGAATTTTCCACTTAAAACAAAAGATGAGTTACTTCTTAATGTAAGTAATTAGATTTATTGCTAAACACCATTTGCATTTCTGAAGTGTTTCATGGTATTCATGGATTCCATTTGGCCTATATTTGTTCCATAAAATTTGAGGTATTTTGAACTTAACAGGGGGCACACTTTTCTCATGCCTTGACACTGTTTAGTAAAAGAGGATGAGTAAGGAAAAAGGGTACTTCTAACTCTAACATTTGGTAATTGTTCTTTATTCTTTTTCTTTCTTGCAAGAAAAAAACATGTCTTTGTTCTTCGAAGGTAGTAATTTTAGCTTGCTGTTTTCCTTTTTCATTCCTCTAGAAGATATTTTTTTGTGTGTGTAACTCTTTCTTTTTTTCCCTCCTTTGCACATCAGAAAATGTTGTGCAGTGGCTGTTGAAATCTCTTTATTGACTGTATTTCTAGAATGTTTATTTTCCCCACCCTCACATGTACTTTAGTTATCATGCTGTTTAAAATTAATTTTCACTATATAATTATTTTGAAAGAAAATTAATGCTCTTTATCATAGCACACCTGCCCTATTTACGACTAATCCAGTTTCTGCGCTTAGTGTCTACTGAAGTGAGAAAGACAGTAAATACAGTAGACAAATATATCTAATACAGTAGACAAATATATTTGCTAGAAGTACTTCTGAATTGTGAGTGTATATTTTGCTCATGTTACAAATTTACATTTTTGCTGGAAAAGCATAAGGCTTTTAAATTTCTAACAGTGGACTGTTAATATGTGGCCTTTACTCTTCCTTTTGTGCTCCTTCTTGAAGGGTTTTGGAGAAGTATGGAAGAGGCAGTTACGGTCTGCATTTTTCAAGTTTGTATTCCTGACTAGCTGTTTACTGCATATTTGCACCATCTATAAGTAAACTTAAAACTTCCTAGTTCTTTAGATCGCTGTGATGCTAGAGATAGAGGAATGAGCTCTCCAGTCTGTTCTAAATCTTTTTGATTTAGAGCTCTGAAAAGAGTATATTACAGCTCTTCCAGAACTTGAGCTTTGAAGTTCAAGAGAAGAGTAACTTGGCGGTGAATCCCAGGGATGCTGTGGCTACAAGTATGCAGTATCTCTAGGCCTCTGCTGCTTCTCTGTAGCTCAGTAGGTGTTTGTCCTTGACAGTTTGACCGCTGATGCTCTTGTGTGAAGGTCATGGGCAGGACTGGTACTGGCTTGCCTGGGACCTTATACACAGCCCTGAACAAGTCCTTGAGGCGAGTGGAATGGGCATTTAAATTGCTTGGGCATGAGTCAGATAGTCATTCCTGTTTCTGTGGGAGACCACATAGGAAAATGCGTGTGTGGGGGACCGTGTTGGGCGAATGTGAGGGTGGGAGCAGATGACAGCCAGTTGGAGGAAAGGGAGAGTGAGTATGTGCATATCCTGAGGAGAGTGGAGACTGGTGGGTGGTGTCAACTCGGTGGTGTCAACTCCATAGGAATACTGGAATGGATTCTCGTCACCAGAAAGGGAAGCTTATGTTTCAGAAGAAGATGCTGTTCAATCAGTAATAATAATAATAATAATAATTCTCTAAAGAGAGAAAAGGGAAATACTGGAAGGGGTTATCACTTTTGACTTCTGTTGGTCTCTTGTGGCTGGGAGCAGCAGAGACTGTCAAAGTACCTCAAGAGAAGGGGGATGTGTTTAACTTTACTTGGATAAGAATGTCTTTGGGAATTGGCAGCTACTGAGTATGGACTAGTTATTTTTTAATTTATTTTCTATGCCTCTTGGACATTCTCATAGTTCTGATATTATTTTATTCTTTATTACTGACTTCTGTTTACCTTTAATTCATTTTTTTTAAAACATGTAAAGGACAGGTTTCTTAGGAAAAAGAAAAAGGAAAAAAGACATGCACATAGTCATAGGTGACAGCTGCCTCAAATCACCTTTTAATTTTAACTCGTAGGCATACATCTTTGGCCTTGCCAGATTTCCGTGAACAGTGTTATTTCTCTACTCACTTGTGGGACAGTTCTGTTACTTAGCATATAGATTTGGGGTGTGTGTGTGTGTGTGTGTGTGTGTGTGTGTGTGTGTGTGTGTGTTTCAAAAATAACTTAGTCTTTCTGAGAAGTGCTCCTCTTTTGTTAACTAACTTTATCTAGAGTTATATGTGCTGTTTCTTTCAGGTTCTTGTACATCATTTGCACTCTCAGGCAGCAGGGGTGGTGCGTGGAGTTTTTGTTCTATGTAGGCCATTACTTTACTTGCCTAATGAAATTCTGAAGAGAATTAATGAAATAGTCTATCCAGTTGTTTCTAAAAAATATACATAAGGACAGCTAGTCAAACAGTTAACATTAATTGTCTTGTTTGTGCTGGGTCTTTAGAGAAATCTAGAATATAAACATACCCATTTAATCTAAATTTATGTCCCATCTCTATAACATGTCTCATATTCCAGGCAGTTTTATTGTTTCAGGAATATAGAGTTCAATTTTTACTCCCATTTAGTCTTTTTGTCAAGTAGACACTTTCCTTTTCTACCTTTTAAATCCTTCCATTGTTGCAGAGTTAAGTTCTGGTGTTCTTACTCCTAGCAATCTCATATCTTTAATTGTCAGTATATGGAAATCACCTTGATATTGTTCCTTTAGAACTAAGTGTTGAGAGTTGCAAACATATTTTGGGATCACAGGATTTGCTCTTTGCTTGATTTTTATGGAAGAAGTGAGGGGAAGAGAAAAAAGAGGGATTAGTCAGCCATAGTGGCAATGAAAAGGGAGTCTTACTTGGCTTTTTTCATAATGTCAAATTATGTAATATTTGATGTTAAATATAACCAAGTGGAATTATCCTTTTAAACATACACCCTTCTTTAATGCTGAAGTTTTATATATAACCTACACAGTAAATGTAAAGCACTCTACATATTACAGCTTTGAGACCTACATTAAACCATTGTTCATTGTTTCAATAAATTAGAAAACTAAGTCTATACAAAAAAAAAAAATTCATAGTGATTTATATCCAGAGCTCTGCTTTCACATAATTCAGATGTAATTAAAAATTTTGAATCATAAAAACATTTATGGAATTGTGACATTACAGACTTAATTCAGCAATGAATTATATAAACTAGTTCTTATTGTTTCTCTTTTGAAAATCTGAAAGGTTTTGCATAACATTAAATATTGTGATTATGGCCCTCCCTGGTGGCCCAGCGGGTTAAAGTACAGCACTAAAGAGGCTAAAGCCACTTCTGCATGAGTTCCATCCCCCACCTGCCCCAGAGGTGACCACATGGCACAGCAGACCTCTCCTGACCTGCACATTGCTCCCCTCAGCAGTGTACTTCGATGATCTGCCTGTTCTGTTCCTCACTCTGTCTCTGGTCAGTCCTCTCACTGCCCCTGCATCTCTGGCCTGTACCCCAGTTCTGTATGTATAAATAAATAAATCTTAAAAAAAAAATTATGATTAGAGTTCTTGTGAGAATGAAAAATAGGTAATGCTGCAATAGCAATAATATTGTGCATGATTCTTGGTAAACATACTTTTGGAGACTACTGTTGTTAACAGTGCATATGAAACACACTTTGAAGTTGGGTTGAGTACACCCTTTGAAAGCATCTTGGCATGAAGCTGCAGAAACATCTGACCTGGTGGGAGTTGCAGTGGATTCTTTCATACCTTTTTGACCTCCCACTGGCTATGAAATTATATTACATGTTGGTCAAGACTTAATAACCATTAACTGAATATGTTGTTTCCAAAGCCTAATTTGGTTTTAAGTTTCATCCTAAATTTTTCGAATTCAGCTTTTTGTGACTGGGATTATATATCATACTATTGTATGTTAGAATACTAATGGTACTTACTAACATCTCCAAAATACCAAGTGTTTAAGAATTGACTTACATACTTAAAGTAGGTAAGCTTTTCATTAATATTCAGCAGTCTCTTAAAAGTAATGCTTGAAAATTAAAATTGTCTGCTTCATTGTGTAGGAAATAAATGAATTTGTTTAGTATTTTCAATTGCAGTAATTTGCCAAATGCTGTGATGTGTCTGGGATTTTTTTTTTTCTCTTACCTGACCTTTTCTTTTACTGATGATGTGCATGAAACATTGTTTCCCTTGCCTGTACTTTGTTATTACGTATCAAAGTACTAAAATAAATATGCCCAGAAAAAAACATTTTTTACTCCTTTGATTTTGAGTTAGTAGACATTTAATATTAATTTTATTTAAATGATGACATAGATATATATCTTTACATGCAAATATTGTACTTTGAATATATCTTTTTAGGTGATTTGGGGGAAATAACAGTGATGAAAATAAAGATTTATCACAAAACTTCATTGACTTCATACTAATGTGGTGCCTGCTGTTAGGCATCGTCCTCACGGGCTACTTATTGGTGATGGCAAATTGATTGGCGCTGTTATGTCTGGGCTGTGCTTTGTATGGATGGTTGTATGAGAAAAGAATGTAAAGCAGTGCTGTCCACTAGCCCTTCCTGCAGCCATCGAGATGTCTGTATCCATGCTGCTTTCGTGCTGTCGTTGTAGAGTACTTAAAGTGTGACTGAAACATTACTTAATTTTAATTAAATTTAGGTGTCAATTGTTGCTAGCACCTGGTATCGGATAGCAGGTGTCTTATCCAATAGTAGAATCCAGGTTTGTAATAATCATCCTAACCTGAAGTATAATGTCTTTTATTTTCAGTGTACTTGGGTTTTGCTTACTACATGATGAAGGGCTTTCTGAGCTAGGTCCCTTCATATTACTTTATTTTTTTAGTTTATCAGTCAGAATGTCTTTTACCTCTGATTCTTTGTATCCTATGCTCACTGTTGCAGTGGTCGTGCCCTTCAGTATGTATGTACTGTTTTCTTTATTGGAGTCTGTGTTTCTTCTTTTTCTTTTTCTGTCACACATACCCATCCTTTCCTCACTCATGGGAAAGGAAAATGATTGATTTTTATTTTCTTAAACTGTGAGATTAAGGAGGTTTACTCATTTATCTTTCCAGAGGCA